TCCACTTACCTCAGCCTCCCAAAGGCGCGGGATTACAGGCTGAGCCACCGAACCCGGCTTAGTTTTATTTTTGTATAGTTGGAGTCTTGCTATGTTGCCCAGGCTGGTCTCAAACTCCTGGGCTCAAGCAGTCCTCCGGCCTCAGCCGCCCAAAGTGCTGGGTTCACAGACACGAGCCACCGCACCTGGCCTCAGGACTCTCCATAGCAACTCAGTCTCCCCGTCTCTAAGTCGGGCATCTATGCCCCCTCCTCGTGTGACTTTCTGGCGGTATATTTGTACGGGGCAGGCTGAGGAGGTACCCGCCACGTTTTCCTCACGCCTGTGAAAAGCTCTGGTTTCTTCAACTGTTATCCATATTGGTGCAATGAACAATGAGAGTGCAGAAGAGAAATTTCTTGAACGTGTGTCCTATAAATACTATATATAATATTTTCTGACTTTTGGTTTCTCCCACAGAATGGAGGCAACCTTGTAGGAGAAGTAAACGAAGACGGGGAGATGACTGGAGAGAAGATAGCCTACGTGTATCCTGACGAGAGGACCGCCCTTTACGGGAAGTTCATCGACGGCGAGATGATAGAAGGAAAACTGGCCACCCTTATGTCCACGGAGGAAGGGAGGCCTCACTTCGAACTGATGCCTGGAAGTAAGTTGCGTCTGTTTCAGACTGTTGCTCTCACCGCAGAGCAGTGTGTGCAGACTGGAGGGCAGTGGCCGCTCCCAGCCACCGCAGCCTCCACCCGCTGGGCTCCGGCGATCCTTCCGCCTCAGCCTTCCAAGTAGCTGGAACTGCAGGCATTGATTTGAGAGCAGTTTCTTTTCTTCTCTGTGTCGTTCACTTTCACAGTGTATGAGTCCGTTTTGCTGCGTAACAGACACCCCAGCGCACTAGTGGTCGACAACAGAAACCACAGGTCCGGTTGGCTGGGCCTGAGGCTTCTGGTTGGATTTGAGTCAGCTCTAAATGTCTTCGTTCTGGGGCCCAGCCCGAAGGGGAAAGTGAAGACCCAGGGCAGGATTTTCCCACAGTGGATCACAGAAGTATCAGAGCATAAGCAAGACGCCTGGATGCCTCTTGAAGCCTCACCTTGGAACTGGCATGACTTCACTTTCATGCCTTCTTTTTTCTTTTCTTTTCTTTTTTTTTTCTTTTTAAGTTGGAGCCTCACTCTGTCGCCTAGACTGGAGTGCAGTGGCCGCTCCCGGCCACCGCAGCCTCGACCT